ATTAAAAGGAGGAGGTACATTATCGTATCCTAAACCCTTTTGTTGGTTTTGTTTGAACTACAGGCAATGGTCAATCATATTGGCAACTACCTCGCTTGATACATCATATTTTTTAAAATCAAAATTTGCAGTTTCAAATTTGCTTTTTAATGTATCAAGCTCAGTAATTAACTCAGCATTCTGTCTCTTTATATAATCATAATTCTCACATTTATTACTATAGTCTTCTTAAAGTCTTCTAAAGTCCTTTATTTTAGATTCTAACTGGGCCTTAAGTGGTTTTTGCTTCTAATTTAGCCTTCAGGGGTTTCTGTCCTTTCCTGAGTTGATATCCTTCATATCTCAGGTCCTCAACTTCTCTTTTTAATAAATCAATTTGTTCCCGAAGAAATTTAATCATAGTTTCACAAGCTGGAGTACATGTAACTTCAGTGACCGGAATGTTTTCAGAACTCATTGTTTTTCTACACTTCAAAGCATCAAGTTCTTCAATTACATCAGCAAGACTAAGATGATTAAGATCTTTTGTCTTCTTGATGATAGCCACGTTCATATCCCACAATTTCGGAAGTGAATTCAATAGCTTTTTGTTTATCTCAAACTTAGACAAGAAGATCCCAGCTATATTCATCTCAGTAGTAAGTGTAGTAAATCGCTGCAACTGAGTTTCGAGGGTTTCTTCAGGGATATAATCGAAAATGTTGAAATTTTGTCTTAACATATCCTGACGACTCTCTTTCATGTTTTCAACTCCCTCGTAGACCTTAAAATCAATTAAAAAGCACAACTAGAAGCTAAGATAAAACTTAAACGTCAAATTTAAAAATGCTCTTTTTCTCAAAAGTCAAACTTAAAAGTCAAATTTAAAAAGTCAAACTTGAAAATGTCAAACTTAAAAGTCAAACCGAAAAGCTAAGTTTGAAAATTTAAAAGTCAAACGATAAAGTCAAAGTTTAAAATCAAAGGTCAAACCTGAAAGTCAAAATCAAAAATTTAAATAAAAAGTCAAAAAAAATAAATTTTTTTTATTATTTTTATTATACTATTATTATTATTATTAATTTTAATTTTTTTTTATTTTGGATGAAAAAGAAATTTAAAATTAAAATTTAGTTTTGGGATTAAAAGTGTAAAAAATGCGAAATTGGAACCGAAAAAGACGCTTTATCAATTATTTTCGGAAGGAGTTTATCATCTAGCAAGCTAGATGATTTGGTAAGGCACTGAAGGGATGCGAGCTGGAGGTCGCGGGTTCGATCCAGAGCACCTCCAAAATTCGCGTCTTATTTTTGATGCGAGGCGAGGAAGCGAGCTGCTGAGTGCGAGGCTGCTGAACCAGAAACGATGTTGAGCCGTAAACCACCAAGGACCGTGAACTCTGAAACCCTAGCCGCCGGCCGCAAACTCCGCTACACCCTCGCAGATTTCGACCAAGAACACCGATTTTTCGACTTTGAAGCTCCAAAACTCGATCAAAAACCTTTTTTTATGAAAAACACGAAGAACAAACCCCCCTTATTTTTCAGAGATCTATCCAAAAACGCAAGAATATTTTGAAAATAAGATCAAATAATGCTCCAAATCTGATAAAATTGACTGATACAACCAAGCTCTGATACCAATTGTAAGTCCCTAATCTACTTGTGTATCAATCAGATCCGTTTGATGATGCGGAATCGCAATCAAACGGATGAAGTCAGATCAAATAGAAGAGAAGGAGAAGAAGAATAATATGAATCTTCAATGTATTGATAAATAGAATGATGATCCGGATATAAGAGATTCACACACACACATAAGCTCCTATGTTCTCTTCTGTTCATCAATCTCTACTCTTCACCCCTAACACCTATATATATATATATATATATATATATATATATATATACAAGGGGAACATGGGCCGGAGAACATGGGTCGTAAATGGGTTTACGTCTGTAAACCTGTTTACGGCCGTAAATACAGTCGTAAACACGTATACGGCCGTAAACACCAAGTTGTTTACGATCCAAGACAAAAAAATACATTTTTATAGAAAAGTAAAGTATAAACCATATTTTTGACCCAACAGTTAAAGTGGTGGTGTTGGTTGAAAGTAGTGATTGAAGGTGGTGGTGGTGGTGGTGGTAGCGTTGGCTGAAATTGGTGGTAGTAGTTGTGGAGGAAGTTGGAATATCCCTTTCAGTATTGCTCCACATTCTAAGCTTTTGTTTTAGTATTTGTAGTTTCTTTCTAAAAGACATCATCATATTCTGACAAAATTGCAAAAATGGTCTCTATGGTTGGTAAATTTGTGTGCTTTTGGTCCAAAACGAAATGTTGGTGCACTACTAGTCCAAAATTGGATCTTTCTATTGTTTTTAGTCCCTATCTACTTAAAAAGACTATTATTCCCTTATAATTTGTTTTTCCATTTTTTTATTATCAGTTTTTATTCAAAATAAAAAAATAAAATAAAAATAAAATAAAATAAAATCAACCATACTTATTTTTCATTCCCGTTCAAACCCTAGCCCATTCCCAAATTACAAAAAAAATTGGTTGTCGTCTACAACCTTGATCTAAGAACCTCCACAGTCAACGATGCATCTATACTCGTCTTCCACCATCGGCAATCTCCCCCACTGCCTCCCCCTCCCTCTTTTAACCTGTCGACGCCTTCTTGATGGGCGAATTGATTTCTAGAACCATTTTCAATTATTGGATCTGAGGGGGGAAATTTCTAGAACTGAAACATTTGAAAAGATTGTAGGTTTTGATATTGGTTGCAAGTTGCAGGTTTATTCTTGATTTTGATTTGGTATGGTTTGGTGTTGAATTTCAATTTGATTTGAGGATAAAATTTTGTGGTTGTCGGAGATGAAACGTGAAAATGGTATGAGATGGTGTTTGTGGGTAGAGGTTGATCGAAGATGGTTGTTGATGAAAAGAGGTTGAAACACACACATACACACATTATCCCTACTAGGTCCTCCCGTTCTCAAACAACAATGAAGAAATCGAGCATCAATAGATAACGTTCTTAAATTGGTGAAATCCTATAAGTTCTTGAAGTGCTTCGATGTATTCCATATTCAATCTATTTTTTTCACTTCTCCGATCTATAGTTTTCTAGTTATCACTACTAGAAAAACAGCCTTTTACAACGCTCATTGCGCGTCGTAAAAGGCTCAGACGACACGCAAATGCGCGTCAAGGAAGGCCCTGTCATAAAGAGAGACGACGAGCTTTTGCGCATCGTCTATAGACGACGCACATTTACGACGCTCATTTACGACGCGCAATTACGATGCGCGTTTACGACACGCAATGCGTATCAAGGAAGGCCCTGTCATAAAGGAAGATAACACGCATTCGCGTGTCGTAACCTTACGACACGCGTGTTAATGACACGCAATGCTTATCAAGAAAGTCCCTATCAAGAAAGGCCATGTCATAAATGAAGATGACACACATTTTTGCGTATCGTAAATTTAAATATTTAAAAAAAATTTATATATTTATTGATTTTTAAATTAAATTTGCATTTAATTTCTCATAATAGAAATAAAATACCATATACAAAAAATACAATCGTTTGCATAATATAAAATAAAATTTCATACTCAAAAAATAAAATAAATTGCACAAATTATAATGTCATACAAAGAATCATTCAAATGTTAAACAAAAATAATACATTGCTAACATGGGTTATACATTTCTATAAAACTAACAAATAATCATACAACTTTGTTTCTTACTGGAAACGTTTCATGTTATTTGTTTCTACCAACACCTTGTGTGCGTACCACCTGCTTAATGTGTACTGGAAAGGAATGTCCAACATGATTACAAGTCTCCCTTAATCTTGATTACTCACCTGCTTAAGTAGAATGTTGTTGTTGAGAAGGTTACCTAGCAATAGAGATAAACACAACACCTCTCCCACAATCACAACATCATTTACAGAAAAAGGGTTATCAATTACTTTCATTAAGATTTTCATTCAATAACAAAAATATTAAATAAAAGGGTGAAACAAATAACTTACTTTTGATAAGTTGATCTCCCTTAGAGCAAACACAGCTAAAGCATTGAACAAGACCCTAGGGCCTTCTTCTAATGGTTATTACATATTGTATTAAAGAGTGTACATCTAGTCAAGAGGAAGTACCTGATCTGGATCCATGGCAGCAAAAAGCTTTGATGCAACTGCTATATCTGAGAGAGAAAGAGCAGCATGTACTTCATCGATAAAAGAAAAAGAGGAAAATCATTTTTAACTATTCCACCGGTAGCTCATTTTTTACTATTCGACCCGGTCAGATTTGAAGAGAGTCAAACCCGACCAAACACCATGAAGACCAAAACCCGAGGGAGCATAGAAAAGAAAAGCAGACGATAAAATCCCAACAAGCTTCTACAGTGAAAAACATATTAATCCAAGGGCAAATACGTAATTTTATATTCATGTCTAAAAAAAAGCATACCATGGAATAAGCAGCATACGGGAAGTCTGAAACGCCATAATGCAAACCATCAACAATAACCGCCATATTGCAGCCAAAGTAACACCAATCACAAAACCAATCTAAAGAAAATAATAAACATTAATTTTTATAAAATAAAAACATTTTTATATATTATATAAAGAAAATAATTATTAATTAACATTACAGTCAGCACGAAGTATGTGATATCCTTCACGAATCTATAATCCCCTTTTGAAACCAAACTAGCAATCAACGCCTAAAACAAAAGAAAATAAAAAAATGGTTAAGAAGTCAACTAATTGACAAATAGTCAAACATTTTTCTTAAACTATATGTCAAGTCAAGTCAAGTCAATGTCAACATTTGATGAATTTATACCTGACCAGATGCAACTAATGCATCTGTAATAAGAGAAACAGCCAACCAAACTTGTAGACATATAGGATGAAGCAGTAGAGTAGAGTACCTTGACCATTTCGTTTTATGCTGTCAGCAACTAGTCTCGCCCTTGCAACTGTACCATACTCATCTTACCAGCAAGTATGTTTTCTTCTTTCATTTAAGAACCAAAACCCTAAAAACATTATATAGAATTATAAAAATTTTAATAAAATTCTAAGGGAATAATACCTCAAGAATATGTAGACGTGAATTCACAGGTAATTCAGCATTTAACACAGCAGATTTTATACCAAACTGTCAAAAAATATATAAAAAGTTTTATTAAAATCTATAATAGGTACCAAAAAAAAGATTAATTTAATGGGAAAAATAATACCTGATCAAGATAAAGTTTTAATCTAAAACTTGTGTCAATTGTATTTGTAAATATCAAGACTTTCTTTTGAACAAGATCCAACTTCAAAATTGCAAGAATGTAAAGAAGCTTATCTCAATAACTGCATTGTATCTAAATATAAAAGTAAAATAAATAAATAAAGATTCAATCAACTTTACAATGTATGAAAGAAATGCCCTAAAAGAAGTTTGTTAAATAAGTATACAAGATTTTAGCTCTTAAGCTCTTACCCAAAATTGTTGAACATTTTTTGGGACAATTTCATCCTTTCCATCACCAACTTCTGGTAAAGTAAGAATATAGAGATTTTGTAGATAAAGCTTCTTCAAGCTTTCAACATCATCACTGAAAAATTTTCATCAGAATTAATTGAATGAAGAAATTGCAGGGGCAGAAATGGAAATACCATCTTATAAGAAGTGATAATGACACAAAAAAACCTTGAGGTAGTAGACATGAGAAGGCATTACCATCTTTTAGGAATGTGAGTTTTGAGATCTTTGAGATTCTTTTCATATCCATATGTAAAAAGAAGATGTGCCTGATTTACTAACATGAATCAGTACTTTAATAAAGAGTATTATAATTTTTTATAGAAAGAAAAGAATTCATACCTTATCAATAATAAGAATTTAAAGAGAATCATGAACAGATTTTGCTTGAAGAACACCTGATGAAAGACATCTTTGGACACAAGCTGGAGTAGAAACAAAGATATGAGGAGGCCGTGAAAATGATGTTGCCTGGAAATTGGAAAACAAATGCAAAAATTACCAATTTACCATTGAACTTTATAATATTGAAGAACTAAATTGGATTTTGTATAAAATTTTTACAAAAACTAACAATTTTAGAGAAATTTGGTTCACCCGTCAACTGGATTGCTTTCAGCTGCACTCTGCATAACTCAATTAGCGATAACACCTCTGAATAAACCTGTTAATACCCAACAAAGATTAAAAACGTCAAAAAAAAAACAGCCTATGAAATGCATTGTTACAAGGGATTAAGAGTTTTTACTATTGAAATGATTAATTGACTTATTATCTTCTTTTAGAAGTCAATAAGTTTAACTTATAAAATTATCTTTTTGTCACCACTAATAATATTAGTAGTTTTCAAAAACTGACGTAAAATGGCTTATAACTATTTGAGATAAAATGACAAAATTACCCTCTTTCTATCTTAATAAACATACACCTGACTTCTTTTCTTCGTCCCCGGGTTTCTATCTTGTTCTTCACAAAAAGGACACCTGAACTGCCATTACTAAGTCTTTTATTGGGGTCCCACTTCCTTTAGTTTTTTGTGACTGCCATTCTTCTGTTTTTTGTGACTGTCATTTGGATGTAGTATCTGAATACAGAATTAAGCCACATTTATTATTGGAATGGTTTTGATTTCAGTCTGAAGAAGTTTGCAAACCCCACCAGCTCTACATCATCATTTGTGACAATTAATTTAGTTAAAACTTTTAACCATAATTGCTTTAAAAAAAAGTTTTTATTTCATATTCTTAACAAGTTCAGCTAATAATTATATAAATACACTACAACTCTTATCTTAAAAATATAAATTTTGAAACAAACAAGTAAATAAAACAGGGGAAACAAACAAGTACATTGTTAATATGACTCAAAAGTAATGAATATTTATTTTGTTTTTCATTTTAAAAATACAAAATAATGAAGCTTACATTCTAGCAAAAGCTATATGAGCAACCACAGGTAACATCAAATGTTCCACCACCAACAATGAAGTCCACAACATAGTCACAACCAGGGGCAGGACACTATTTTGTCTAAAATGAAAAGAAAAAAGGATAATATATTAGTGAATAAGGGGATAATATGTGATGATTTTTAGTTATAATAATTTATATTACCTTTCTATTGTCTTCCACAAAAATGTCACATGTCAAACAAGTACAGTAAGTTGATAGAGCCCAAAGGGTACTGTACTATTTACTTCCAAACGCTGATAATATTGGAACTTGAACCCAAGAATATGTGAAGCATTAGACTGCAAGAAACACCCATAATAGAAGAGATTGGATAATGTACAATTGACTCCATTCATGAGTAATAGCAGCTAGGTCCCAACAATTTCAAAACCTTTTTTTGCCTTTTGTTAAAGTCAAACCATCTGCCACAGGTAGCCTCTCATCATCTTCACAGCAGCAAACAAGGAGATTAGTCAGCCAAACATTACGCTGATGCCCGACAGATTTAGCTTCTTCCTGTAAAGCATTTGTTAAGTTATTGGTCAAAATACACAGCTCACAAACTGGCATGAAAAGCACTTGTTAAGTTATTGGACAAATTCTATAAACACAAATAAAAGCATTCAAGTAACAATAATAGAAATCCAAACATTTAAAACTTACCTGCAGCTTCTAAAGCAGCAACAAGGGTTTTTTTCTTTGAAATCTGTTGATGTCAATCTTGATGTCTGTAAGTTTCAACCTCTTGAAGTTCATTTGTCCTCTTACCATGTCATGAGCATCAATAAGTGCCTATTAATCAAATAAAAATGGAGGTAGTTAATACATCAACATCTATAGCAGATTACATGTTTCTTTGAATCCATAGAACAAAAGCCACCAGTGACCAGACATGATCACATGGAACATCTCCAATTCCTAATATTAGTATTTTGGTACAACCAATTTCAAGCATTTTGAATACCTTTGATTTGAATTACACGGTGGTTTTCTCACAGAGGCAAATGATCGAACACCTGGTGTGCACAGGAAAATAACAGCAGGTAGCCATAGCTATAACCAGAGCCATGGAAGCAAATCTGAAGCTTAATAATCTGAACGGTTTTTTTTAAACATCGGTATTGGAGCTGCTTATAGCCATAGAAGCAATCAAGACTCGCAAAGCTAGTTATAGCCATGGAAGTAATCAAGACTCTCAAACGAACAAGACTCTCAAATGAACTAGAGTTGTTACCTGTATTGTGTAGATGCACAGATGGACCAGAATCCAACAGGAGAGAATCTAGATTCACTAATTCACAGATGGACCAAACACACATACATCAGATACCATAAAGCTGAAGATGAAACAAAAGTGAGGAGTGAAGATGAAAATTGACAAATTAACAAAAAAAAAACCATACAAATTAACCGATTTAACTCACAGTTTCAAAAACCGAACAAAATCATGTGTTCAGACCAATCACATTCGTTTCTCACCTTCTCTATCTTCTCATCAACAGTGAAATCGTTTATCTTATCGGGTGAGGTATAAAAGTGTTGATGGAAGAAGGTCGATTGTAAGGACGTGGAGGGAAGGAGGAGATATTCCCAAGTTCGATTCGGTATTTCCTGTGTTGTTTCATCAGACACAACTGTGTTGATGTCGATTTCATTATATGCACTCCGAACTCTTACAGACGATGGGGTTCAATGCTGCTGGTGGCGGTTAGGGCTTCCAAAGGGAAGGGATAGAGAGTGTAGAGGTAAAGGAAGACGGCTGGTTCAAAAGGATTCACAGCCTCACAGTTATATTAGGGTTCATTGGTAGAGGATTATAGAAGGAGGAGGAGATACGTACATGGCGGGGTGTTTAATTTTTTGGGATTTCATTTCCCCCCTGTAGGCTATTAAAAAAATGGAGAACGCGCGCCTTCCTAAAAAAATATAAAACGACAGCTTTAGAGGACACGCTTTTTTCGTTAGGTGCCCTCCGTGTTTTAATTTTTTTTCTTGAAACACTAATTTAAGGGCACGCAAAAATGCGTGTCCTTTATCCTTCAATTTTTGGAAACCTGACATTATTTTGAAGGGCACACAAAAATGCATACCGTAAATCTGTGAGTGTCATTGTTTGCGTGTCATTAAAGGGTATTTTTCTTGTAGTGTATTGTGCTTTGATGTCCACATCGAGGAGACAAAATTAAATAGATATTGATGGTGTAGACGGGTGGTAATGGTGTTGATCAATAGTGGTGGTAGTGGTGATCGGAATATGAAAGTTGGCTTAGGTGAGGAGTCTCCGGTAGCTTCTGTGGTGGAGATGGAGGAAGATATGTTGGCAACAATTTATTGAAGATTTTGAGGTGGTAGTGGTTGACGATGATGGAGGCGGTGGATTGAAGTCAGGTGTTTGGTCTTTACGAGAGAGAGAGAGAGAGAGAGAGAGAGAGAGAAAGAGACGTGGTGAATTGTTGACTTAAGAGTGGGGTGGGTTTTTTTGGTTTTTTTTAATTAAAATAATAAGAAATTAAATAAAAGAAATTAAAAAAGAATCATTTAAGGGTATAATTGTCATTTTAGGTAGGGTTTGGACCAAAACTACAAGAAAATGATAACCATAGGGACCAAAATCACACAAGGTATCTAAAATTGGACCACCGTTGCACCACCAAAACTTTTTAGACCAAAACCACAAAATTTTGCCTACCACAGGGACCATTTTTGCAATTTTGTCTCATATTCTCCTCCGAAACGCCATCAATTTTCTAGGGAACCTCGACCAACTTTGTGTTAGAATTTTGGGGTATGAGAACACTTGGAATTCTGAAAATCGTGATGTCACTTTGAAATTGAAGTATTTATGTGGTACTCTCGAAATCAGCAATTGGATAAGAATCAAAAATAAGGTGCAAGAATAGAGAGTGTTTTTTATGAATTCCGTATGTACCCAAAATAACGACCAAAAAGTGGTTATAAACCTCTATGTCTGAAAACTATCACAAAGCAGTTTTCTATGTCTGAAAAATACACAAACTGTCACAAGATAGTTTCCAACAGTCACAAAACCGGATTTTCAACAAGAGTCAAGACAAATTAAAAAACGAGTTAATTTTCTAAAAATTGTGCCCCTTGGACCCCGTCAAGGAGGCCACCCCTTGGACCCCGCTTCCAGGGGCGCTGCCTCCGGATCCACGTTCTTTCAAGGGCTTTGCCCGTAAATAATAATCTACTTTTAATCTTGAACAAAATTACACATGTGCACTCCGCACCACTATCACTTGTTTAGTATTTATCAAGATTGTTTAATGTCAACAAATTAATCTATTACACTTAAATACTATTAATGAAACAAATCACCAACACTTTGCGAACTCATCATGCAAAAACAAAGACTGACAATATAGAACGAAGTTCCGCTAAAATTCATGATTGCCTCTCTCAAAAGAATAAGTCGGTTATCGCGGTCAAGAATCAATCCATTTGGTTCTATTTAAAGAAAGTTTTTCTTCTTTTAGAAAAATTGTATTTCTGCTTACAGCATTGTCTTATATTCATTATCAATGTTCCATTACCTCGTCCTGGACACCATTGACTGAAACCCTCGGAATTTGAACTTGTGACTTCTATAAAAAAAAATCATTGTCTTACCAAGTGAATTATCAGATGATGGTTAAAAAAATATTTATTGTTTATTTAGAAATTCAAACCTTTATTAGTTTTACTCCTTTTTAGAAAAATGTCTATATTAATTGTAAATTTTAATGAAACACAATCACATACACATGTTCTCTATAACTATGCATATATGAAATTGTGTTTAAAAGAAAATGTATAATCTTCACCAATGTTTTAAATACCGTTAGGCATGACGTGACAGCAATGTCAAGCTCAAACTTTTGCGAGTTGTGGCTTGTTTGTACGCAGTGACGAGTCTAGAATAGAAAACCATGTGGTTCACTAATTTTTCTATATACATTTTTCTATGTAAATTCAAATATTTTTATTGGTAAGGTATGACCTAAATACTTTTTAAGGTAGGTCGCCAAAAAATTTCTATAGAAATTTTAGATAAATTGAAAAAAATATAGGTGGGTCCTAGGACCAACGTTCCTTACACGTTGTCTCGCCACTGGTTGTACGACATGACTTCAGACGACAATTTTGTATATATTCAATTATTCTATATATTATTATTCATTTTTATATACATATCACTACAAGAAAGTCGGGCATTAGCGGCGACGATTGTCGCCGCGAAGATAGGGGCAGTCACCACTAAAGGTATTAGTGGCGACCGGTCGCTGCAAAAAGGTATTAGCGGCGACATGTAACGCGTCAATTAGATGTCGTCGCTAATGTCAGGAGTCGCTGCTAAAGGCGTCATCGGTAATGGTAACATTTATTGTAGTGTATTGTCTTAAGACGACATTTTGTTAAATTTAGTCGCCAAATACAAGTCTTGGAGCCATGACAAAACCATATCGAGCTTTTTAGAACCTTTATCTTCACCGATGCTACTTCTAAACTCTAATTTTTTATATATAGAAAATATTGTGATGTATGCATTTTTTTTAAATTATTATGCTTATGTATGATTGATGATGATAGGAATGCAATATGAGACAACTTTGTATGTAAATTAATACTATATAACTTGTGAAAAGTAAAGTCGATCATAAGGAATTAATGATTGGCATCTAAGTTGACATATTCAAAAGAAATTATCTATTGATTAAAAGTAGTTAGGCTTTAGTGGCTTTCAAGCAATGCCAAAAACCTATGAAGCCATGTTTAACAGGTTATAAATCTTTTATTCAATAAAAATCAATATGTCAATGGTACTGTATTTTTCCATAGAAAAACTTGATAGATGTGATATCCTAAATGATAGATAGCTAGCTGTATCAAGTAATTTTAATCAACGTATGCTGTTCTGAAAGTCTATTTCTTGATGCTTATAATCATTAGGCTTGGACAAAATTTCACAAAGAACAAAATAAATTAATCTAATATATACAACAACAAAAATGAGTATAGATGTTTTCCACTTCGGGTAACTCATTTATCCTGATATATTCACGATATTGGTAAACTAAACTAAACTAAAGTTGATGGACATTAAGCGAAAAGAAGTAGGTTAGGGATTCTATGAGATGTTCTTTCCAATAGTAGATTGGCATTTTACAATATTAGCCCTTCATATATGTTATATGTACCTATAAGGAGTCATATAAGAAGAAGGCTTTCATATTGTAGCCTTCAAGTAACAACCCAATCCATCTAAGTAAAAACCAGCGCGACCATAAAACCCTGCAAACGTACCTTCATCCCATGGCACTGAAAAACGAGTCCCTGTCTCATTACCAAAAGGCCCGCACGTCTTTTTGGTTGTCTTAAAACACAATGATGAGATTACTATATAATTTGCATAACGTCCGGTCGTTTTCCCAACTGTTCCTAGTATCTCGGTTATCTCCTCATCAACATCGAAGTTAACCTACAAAAAGCAACAATAATCATATTGCTAAAAAGACAATAATCACATAGTATTAAGGTTCTCTCTTGTTATGTCTTAACATTTTGAGACATTTAACATTAACAAATAATATTAAGGTTGTCTGTTTATGGATCACTTTTGACTTTTGACTTTTTAATCACTATCATATAATTTGGTAGATATGTTCATGAATAGACTGTTGCATCTTCTTTTCATTTTTTTTTTAATATTAAAGACTTGTCACCTCAGAAATTCTGCCACCGCTAGGGCCGCCGCTGCCACCATGACGTTGAGAAGAATCCAACGTCCCACTAAAATCTTGAGTTGTAAAACCAATAGAATAAAGCCAATCCTCGTGATCTATCGTTATCTTCCGAAGCTTCTGGTTGCTATCAAGCTGCAACGACCATGGGGATCCACCTGTGCTCGATCCCCATAACCCAATTCGTACGATTTTCCGACAACCCTAGCATTAAATAGCATAAAGTTTATGATTATCAGTTCAAGTTCTTTACAAGATTACACCAGATCTTTCACAAGTAAGATAACTTACGATTTGAAATTCCAACGAGATTTGTAGCTGTTCGATGACCATTGCCATCGTCGGACGTTTTTTCCTATCTATTTTCAGGCATTGATTAGCGATTCTGGAGAACACTCGCAACGAATCGGGCTTTATTTGTTTCAGAATACCGGGAAAAATAATTTCGTCTAGTTTCCCCTCTTCATAACGGAGTTGAGCCAAGTGAGATAAGAACCGACGTTCGTCGTCATATTTTCCGATCATCGCAAGCCTTCCACACAAGATTTCAAATAAAATCACACCAAAAGAATACACATCCGACTCTTTTGTAAGAACTCCTGTCGATACGTATAGCGGATCAACATAGCCAAATGTTCCAGCGGCATTCGTAACAAGAAAAGTGAACTCCTGATTCGTTGGACCTATTTTTGACAACCCAAAATCGGAAATTTTTGCTTCCCAATTATCATCCAATAAGACATTAGAGCTTTTAATGTCACGATGTAAAACCCTGTGCCCCTCTCCGACACCGGTATGTAGATAATTTAGTCCACGAGCAGCACCAAGACATATCAGAAGCCGTTGCACCCATGTAAGATGATCGGTGGCCAGATACTTATCGAGGCTTCCGCGACCCTCGTGCTCGTAAATAATGATTTTCTCGTCACCTTCTTCGCAGAATCCAACAAGAGAGACCAGATTTTCGTGTTTGTAACTAGAGAGCATGAAGATCTCCATCAAGAACTCATTTTGTCCTTGCCCACCCTTCACGTCTAGCCGCTTTACAGCGACGGTGGTGGATGGTCTAGTGGATCTGGTGGCAGTGGCAGAGGCAGATGCAGAGACTGGGAGTTGGCCTTTGTTCGGTGGCCGATTTGATGTCTTCAACTGGAATTTTAAGGTGGTCGAGTTCTTGGATTAGAGACATGAGATTACGGCTCTTTAATTAGTAACAGGAATATTATAGTGGAAAATTGGAAAATAAAATTTGTGAAATGAAAATTGAAAGACGGAGTCGTTACTAATAATTAGGGGGGGGGGGGAGATTGTGATAAGAACGAAGAAGTATTTTATAGAACTTACCAAAACCATTTGTAATTTTTTGAAATGTTTAAAATTATATAAATTTTCAAAATTAAAACACAGTGATAAATAACCTATTGTTAAACTATAACTTTTCAAAATTGAGAAATGTTTCAAAATTATGTTCTATTAAAAAAACAAGTCGTGGCATATAAAAAATCTAATAATAAAATCATGGATGCCAAGCTAATGCAATTCATATTATCATATCTTTCGTATAAATCTGGCAATCTGCAATGCTTTTGTCACTACCACAAGCATCACAAAATTCATCATGTGGTATCTAATACGATTTATGTTCTCTAACTATGATACACGAAACATTTGTCGAAAATTTTGCATGAATGATTCTCAAAACGTTAATAAACCGCGAATCCAACAACTGAAGATAACATCCCACCAGTTGAGCTGGTGAATATTAACTCCTTGTATATTTATCTATTTTTACCAATGTTTGCTTCTTTCCTCTAATTTAATTTTGCATGAGTATTTATGGATAATAAAAATTAAATGAAGTGGAGGGTCATCCTATGGATGATGATGAAGATGTTATTAATGAGGGTATCGGTGATGACCAATGAAAGTGAATAAGTGATTGTTGGGAAAATTAGGGTATGCGGTGGAGATCTTGATACCAGTTCGGATCGTGATATCACTTTCCGAACTGATATTTCTATCATATGCCTGGGTTACAAAAATTTAGCCTAGGATAATCCAAGCAAACACTTACGTTTCTAGGCACAGAAAACGTAAGCTATTATGTTAAAGGGTTCTGTAAATGTGTGATGAAAAACGAGAGCTAAAGAACGTAACCCCCTTCTGAAAAGAATAATTGTTTATATACTAAACATGATTAGGGTTTCATTATGGTTGGGCCGTCATTAGTTGCATTGGTAGCCAGTAATATTAATCCAGATTAAGGTTACCAAAACTAACGAGTTTTGTTAGTTTTACCATAATCACCCTCAAGAAATTGAGTTTTTCATTAGTTTTACCGCTAGGGGCGCTGCCCCTTTAGAAACCCCGGACCCGGGGGCGCTACCCCCGGACCCCCAACTAGTTGTCGTACCGGCTTCTGACTCGATCTTATACATATGTGCACTCCACACAACCCCATACATGTATTAGAGTACAAATCATGAAGCCCCTTAACTCACATATTAGTTCCAGTTACTTAAAATAATACAGTAACACTAAAATCACCAACAGTAATGATATAGGAAATGAGGTTGATGATGAAGGTCAACAGGATGCCTCCAAGAAGAGAACTAAACCTTCTAGAGAATAATCAAAACAAAAAAAGAAGTTTGCTTTTGATAAAGATGGTGATTGTTAGCCTCCATTCTTATCACTTTGTCATGTCAGCTTTTTGATTGTCACCTTATTTTTCTTTTTTAACATCTAAACTTAGCATTTGATAGGGGTAGTGACACACTTAGCACTCCATTTTTTCTTTTTTTTAGTTTAAATAAATTACTTTATTTTAATATACAAACATTTTTTACGCATAAATATTAAACAAATTTTATTTTTTTAAACACGAATAGTTATAGTATTGGAATTGTAATTGAAATTTTTGAATTTTTATAATTAAAATGTACATAAATGAGGGAGTGGTTGAAAGTTAAATGAAAAGTAAATGAGAAAGCGAATTCTTTATAAAAGTATATGAAATAAATTAAGCCGTGGAAAATAAATGAGAAAGTAATTGGCAAATAAATACAAAATATATGAAATAAAGTAGTTGAAATTGCCTTCTTCCACCTAACTTTGAATTTGGTCAATGCAATCCATTAAATGTGTCTTCCACCAGTTGGACTCTCTCTCCCCTCGCTACAATGGCAATGACTTTTCGTTAACAATCTCCCTAGCGAGAGCTAGGGGTGGTGTTCATCAACTTGCAGAGAGGATGGCAAGTTGTTTTAGCGAGGCCACTCTTCCCCATCTTAGTAATAGGTTAAGGGATTGTGCGTTGTAGTGGGGATGGTTTAGATGGGCTTATGGTTCATCTTTTTTTATACATCTTTTATTTTCCATGGTACATTTTTCTGATATAACCACTAATCACGTTTCTTTATGTTACCATTTGGGCTGCCTTTCTATATACTTTTTGGGCTTTTTGGTACAAATGGGTGGATGGTACAAGTTAGTCATATTAAACCTTATGGAATGTAATGTTTCCCCAATCAATCTTTATGTGATTGTGTGCCTTACATTACCAATGGCTGCAAATGATCAATGTTAATTTCCTTATTTGTATGTGACATTACGATTAATTAATAGGATGTATTTCCAGCACATTACATTAATTTAAGTGTTAGTATATAATTTAGCGAGGAAAGATAAGTAGCTGGTAAAGATTGGTGCAGTTAGACGGTAGCATTTGGTAATATTGTCCACCTAGTATACTTTAATTTCAGTTCTAGGATATGGTTTACGAGTTTAGTTGGTGATGAAACTATACAATGGTAATACTGTAAAGCTTTTACATGCAATGAGCCGAGTCCAAAACAAAGTTTCAACAAGTTGATGACATGATGGATTGGATTGGATTGGATTGGATTAGTTGGTTAGAGCAGTCGGTCTAGTTTTATTTTCCACATAACAAACCAACTATAACACTATTCATTCAAGCTAATTAAGCTCTCCATTTTTTGTTTTGTTTTGTTTTAAAGAGAAGCACAAAGAAATGTTAAAACAATTTAGTGGGGTAAAGTTTTAACCATTCAATCCCAATCTGTATCCCTCCAGGTGCTCTTAAAGTTAATCCATCCGAAACACAATTAACATTATTAGACCCGGCAGCCTAATACGGGTTGTAGCGTCGTCCTCCTCCTCCTCGACCTCCACTGTCATTACCCCGCCTATGACCACCACCTGAGCCGCCTCCTCCCCCACTCCGACCACCACCACCTCTTGGCTGTTGTGGCATGGCCTGTGGTGAGTGTGGCTGCATACCTGGTTGTTGCCTGTTTTTGCAAATAAAAAAATGAATAGTGAAAAAAGACATTTAAACAGAAAAACCGCCTAAATCCTCCTCTTCCACTTACAGGACGTATCCAATCCTTCCGTCAGGCAAAAGCATTGGCATCATGGCCATACCAGCTGTTGAAGGTCCCCTTCCGTATATAAGTGGCGGCTGCAGTAACCCATGAATAATGCTTTCATTGTTTTTATAAAGAAAAGATAGATAAGTGTTGGTTGTGAGCTACCTGTCCATAGGCGGCTGCACCATATCCTGCACCCAAACCACCATATGCACCACCTACCAAGCCGCCATAACCAACACGAGGAGGGTGGTGGTTTGGAAGTAAAGCCGCCTTATTCTGGTTGTTTGAAGATCCTCCAGATGATTTCTGGTCTGCTTGTGGCTTAGCAAGTGAGCACTCCAATACTTGACCTATATTATATATAAACCATCTCAATCAAAAGAGCATAAAAATTGTTTTGATCGTGAGAGAGAGAAGTATGCAGTATTGCAGTATGTATGTATTTACCATCTAACTCATACTTCTCGGTGTTCTTAAGAGCCTTCATGACACTTGATCTATCTGCAAAATGAACAAAACCAAACCTACTCCTCTCGTGGCCTGCTTTTGCAGGAGGGAGAACCACTTTTATGATCTTTCCATGGTGCTCGAATATCTTTTCTAGCTCATCTTGAGTCACATTCTTTGGTAGATTCTTCACATACACTGCCTTCACCTATACATATATATACATGACTTCACTAGTCAACAACTTGACTTTAATAGATTATATATATATATATAAAAACCAATGCACCTTCACACCTACCTGAGAAGAAGCTGAAGACTCTGCATTTTTGGGGTCAGCCCAGCTGACAGTTGGAGCATTATCATCAAGTTTAAATTTAGGGTTCAGCATTTTTTGTCTCGAATACTCTGCACATGCATGGTTATAATACTCAATGAAAGCAAATCCACGGTTCCTCCTAGGGTTTTGTGGATCCTGTAAAAAAAAAAGTTGGTTTTTGAGAACCACATTATATATAATTAATATATCCTACAAACAACCAATTAGTGATGGTATCTATTGATACCTTTAGCAGCTCCACAGAATTGATCCCTGGTCCAACCTTTCTCACAACTTTTTCCATGTCTTCCAATGTCCAACTTTTTGGAACATTACCAATAAATAACTTATGTTTTGCTTGAGATGTTGAGCACCTCACCCTTTTACCCTGAGATATTAATTAACAAACAAACAACAATAACTCCTTAGCCAATAGCTTCATATTATTTATTGTTTCTAAAAAGAATGATAATGATAATTGTAACAAGCAATACCTTCAGCTCCTTAGTATTAAGCTCCTTGATGGCAGTAGAAGCCAACTCCTTGGTCCTGAAGGTCACAAAAGCATACCCCTTATTCTCGGATGCATCTTTGCCCCTCATTATCCGAACCTGTTTGTTTCTTATTTATTAATTAAACATATATTTATTTATTTATTTATAATGTAGTGAGAGAAAGAGAAAAAGAGAAGGTTACCTCTGTGACTTCTCCAATGGATTCACAAAACTTTTTGACATCATCTTCGGAAACATCTAGAGGAATTCCACCAAGATATACTTCTGAACCATAAGGAGGAAGGGCAAGAAGCTCTGCATACTTCTTCTCTTCATCAGCATCAGCATTTTCCATTTCTTCATCCTCCCCGGCTTTCTGTCTGTCTGCTTCATCATCAGCATCTTCCTCCTCCTCCTCTTCTTCTTCTTCTTCATCTTCCTCAACTTCTTCTTCTTCTTCAACCTCTTCCTCTTCTTCTTCCTCCACTTCTTCCTCTACTTCCTCATATTCAACCTCCTCTTCAACAGCCTCCTCTTCAAAGTCCACCTGCTCTTCTGTTTCAGATGCTGCTTTTTCCACAGCCTTTGGAGATTCCTCAGCCTTGGAAGCTGCCCTTGCCCGGGTGGTCCTTGGCATCTTATTGTTATGTATCTAGGAATAAAAGCTTGAACAGCAACTGGGATAGATACACAGAAGCCAGAAGAAGCATTTACAGAAGAAAGAAGAGAGCAATGGGAACAAGATTCAAAAGGAGAAAAGGAGTGGCAAAGTGAGAACAACAGTGATAGAAATAGAATCTGTGCCATTAGATATGATATGATATGATATGGTTTTGCTCAAGGAGACTTCAAAATTGGCAAATCATACGTGAAAGAGACAACTGTGAATGACTCAATTCTCAAAATGATATGTGGAAAATTGCATCTAGCTTTCTACCATCAACAATGCAGCAATAATGAGAAGGTGGAAGAGCAGACAATAAGGTTTGAGATATCAAAAAAATAATATATGTTCATGCACAGCAAAGTCAAATAAAAGATGGGAAACTATGTCCAGGCAGGCATGGTCAAAGGAGAGCTAAATGGGTTGATTTGATTTGGTCAACAACAAATTTATAGCATCAAAATTTATCAAGAAAGATGGGATTAATTTTCCTGTTTCCTGCAGCAAGTTAATGCACAGGGGCTGAGAATATACTCTCCAATGAGCAATTCAAAAATGCACAAAAGCAGTGCTTAATAGGAGTATCATTATCATATAAGCCAACTCACTCACATAACAATGTGCATGAGAGTGCTTGTCACCTTTATATAACTTTTATACATCTTTTACACAACAAACAACAAAAACATATATAAAAATTGCAAGAGAAAACAGAAATGTGATTAGAGAAAGCAATTAAGCAAAAAAAGGCTGCTGCTAAATCATTGGTCATCTAATGCTACTAATACAATTTACACCAACATGCCTCACAAAAAAACTCATCCATATTCTCATTGCCATGCAAAAACAATAAGCTCTAGCCCACATGTGCTTTACAGCTGCATCATCAAGAATAGTGGTTTATATACAATACACTAAGACATATTCGCAGCTTTTCTTTTGCTTCAGTGGATAGGTTTAAGGTTGTACAAGTGAAATGAATACATATAGTAAGAGGTTGTTAAGAACTAGTCCTACATTCTTTGGGGATAAGATTATGGATTGGAATAACAAGAAATCAGAGGTTTCTTTTTTGGGCCTAGTTAAATTATCTTGCTGTGATAAAAGAAGAAAAGAAAAAGACGTTAAAGATGAACAGCATGGGAAGAGCTGTCTTTGGTTGATGAAGATTTAGAGACTTCTGAAGCAACCATGCACATAGTTGAGATGCAAACCTTCAATTACTGCATAAGGGTACCTAGAGCATTGAAATGAGGTGCAACTTTGCCCTAACAAGGTGGTTGATACTTCTCACTAACCTACTTCCATTGTTGAATGTGTCAATGGAGCTAGACAACTAGACAACATTTTCACAAAAGTCTCTTCAAAGAACACAATGATTCGATAGCCTTGTAAACATGTTTAAAATGTATGTCCAAGGTTAATGGGGAGTGCTATCATTAAAAAATGTATCACTGCTCGCTAGTTATGTCATTTTGGTAAACTAATTGTCTTTAAGGTCTTCCCAGGGTTTCACACTTTCAACAAATTGGCCAATTTGTATTCTATATACCCTTATCTTGATCAATGATACAATCATGCTTTCTCCACCCAAACCTCATTAGCCGAAATAAATGCATTCCTTTTATCTCCCCCAAAAAATTTTACCTGATCAAAGCTCAAATGTGTAACATGTAATAAGTCGATTCATATGAGCAAAGCAGATCTAAGCTTCCAAACCTAGTGTGATCAAGAACTAATAGATTCAAAAATAACATAGGAACCTATTCTTAGTGAGTTAGTGAAAGTTCTCATATTGTTCTTCTAGGATGGAGACTTCAAGAAATCATTCCAAGAAAACAAGAAATGTAGAGGAGCTGCATCATGCTCAACTAAAGCCGCCAAAGGAGTGTATTATATTTGCATACAAAGATGTGGCATCTACATTTCTTTATTGCTTTTCAGTATTGTTCCTATATATCTAATTCTACAAAGAAACCTCAACCACTTCAAAAGATTTGAACATTATGGTTCATGAAGGGAATGGAAGAAACATACAGTGATTCAAACCACCTAACAGTTAATGAATCCTAATGCTCACTTATATTTGCTTGATAATTATAAAGTTCTTCATTTACAACCCTTCACCCGTGTTGGCTAACTGATACCAAAAAACTGGTCCCAGCTCCCTACTTATATGTTATCAAACTAGCTATAGCAACACATGGTCTTAGGCACTGACATCTTTTATGATAGATAGATGTCTATATACACCTAGCATCATTAATATGCTACTACATATCTTCAAAGTGCCCTTAAATCAACATTATGTAAAGCTGATTTGAATAAAGAATCAAGCATAGCCAGTTGTAGAGATTCATCTTCCAAGTTGATTTATAAATTCCCTTCTATTATTGAAAACATTAATAACCCATATGCGTCAAAAGTCAAAACATACATGCCATTACCATAGGCACGGTTAACGGGTTAAGTAGAAGACAGATTTGCAAATTAAATATGTTCTTGAAGACTACAGCAAACCCTAAAACAGCCGGAATCAACCTAAAATTGAACACGATGACCGGAATACTCTCAAATCTCGAAAAATATAACAAAGAATAAGAGGAGTTTACACAGCCCAGCAATAAGCTCAGCTGTAAAAATTACCACTTACAATGTAAAATGCAATGTCAATTTCCATCATAGGCCTAATGGTTGCTAGTTTCTATTTTCTCTTAGTACACGAATCCGAAGCCCGGCATGTCATATTGATCAATAACGAATAGAATAATCATACTTGACCAGATACATATACAATTTTTTTACAATATTTTCCTTATCTTCGTATAATATAAAACCGTATGTCAGAGAAATAATAAAGGTTGATTATGTCTTACCTGTATGCGGAGGTAGATGACTGATCTCGAATGACGACGACGGTAAAATATATGCCGGTCGGAGATTATGGTGTCGGAAGAAAGGAGGAGCGGCGCTGAAGCCTGAAATGTTGCAGGTTAGGTTTAGTTTTACCCTCTTTCAATCCCTTCTATATTTATTTCAGAATTACGGAGATATTTTTTTCGAATAGAAAAAAGAAAAATTGGCTGGCAAATGACATTTCCATCCTTATTTTATTCTCACTTCATTTATAGAAACGCAAATATATTTTCATAATTCAATAAGTTTGTTAGAAAAACGACAGTACTATAGTAGGTCGGAGAATTTTGGAAGTTCATGTAAAACATCTCCCTTTTATTTGGGGTAACGAATCGAAAGAACTTTCAATGTTATTTATATTTAAATTTTGAATTTTTTTGTGTTTGATTTATCCTTTAAGTATTTATATTTTATTCTTATAATTGGTTGGTCCAACGGATCATAAAGTATAAAATATAAACAACTTCAAATAATTTAAAAATAAATCAAACATAAAAATAAAAAAATAAAAAAATAATAAATGATTAAATATAAACAAAATTAAAATTTTATTGCCTCTTTAAATCATTATCATTTTTTATAATCTATTAGCTTATTTTGTTTATTGGTACAAATTATTTATATTAATAATTTTAATTTCAATCAATATATTTTCATGATTTTAATCCTAGTCTATAAGATTAACTTTAAATTCCAGTTTCTTTATGCATTCATGTTTTATGTTTACACTTATAATTAAGTTTTATGTCATAATTGGACATCATTTACAAAACACTATTACGCTATTTATAACGAAGTATTGTGAACGCAACTCTATTTATGCATTATATAACAAAACATATGTTTCAAGCTATATCACAAGATATAAGAACGAAGAGTTCCAACGAAACATTATCGATGGCATATTAGTTGTTACATGTCACCACTAAAGATAATTGTTGCTACTCTGTATACCTTTGGCGACAACATATGTAGCTCGTTATACTCTTTAATCTTGTAGTGAAAACAAATATATTTTTTTAATGGATAATGATTTAAAAGGGTAATATACTTTTTAATTTGTATACATGTTGTTATTGAGTTTTTTTTTCGTTCATATTTGTTCCATCAACTTGTTAAATTGTCCTTGTGACAGGTTACTATAGGTAAGTCGGAAAAATTCACTTAATAGGATAATATATTTCTCACTTTCTACATATTTAGTCATTAATATTATTTGCACGTTTAATCCTTAATATTTTTTTGTTACAAAATAAGTCTTTGTTGTTTTGTACACATTCAATATTTATGAACGGTTTCTGTAGGTTTTTCTTACGATATTTTTACATAGGACAATTATTAATGAGGTGTTCGGGGTTGTTCATGTTTATGGTCACTACGTCTCGATTGCTTGGTGTTCAAGTTTGTGTTATGAATGTCGTAACTTATTCATACGATCTCAGATTTTAAAAATATTTATGTCAATGCATTCATATTTGAGTCTACAACAATTTTCATTTAGATTATCCTGTTAAAAAGTTACGATATTATATATATATATATATATATATATATATATATATATATAACATTCATACATAAATTCATAAAGAATGCATGTATATAAAGATCATAAGTAGAAATATATTACTTTTTAACGGGATTAATCTAAACGAAGGTTGTATGCGACTTAATTACAAACGTGTGGATATAAAGATAATTAAAATTTAAGATCGTATGAAGAAGTTACAACATTCATAACACAATACCTAAACTAAACCACAAGGCCTAAGCAACTTATATTACTATTATTAAAAAGTAATATATTTTTATTTATGATTTTATAAAATAAAATAAAATGTACATACATATATTCATAAATAACGCATTTATATAAAGATCGTAAGTAAAAATATTTTACTTTTTAACGGAAGTAATCTAAACGAAAGTTATAGTAGACTTAAATATGTACGCATGGAAATAATTATCGTTAAAATTCGAGATCGTATGAACAACTTATGTCGCTTGGATCACAAGATGTAACCGAAACACAAGAGCTAAGTAACCAAGTAGTTGTGTTTGTGGTGGTCAAAAGCATCAACAGCCCCAAACATATTATTAATGATTGTCCCACGTAGACCGTCGTGAAAAAAACCTAAAGAAACAAAGACTTATTTTGCAACAAAAAAATATTAAGGAATATGTAATGTCTCCATTTCAACCCAAAATTTTCATTTTTA